TATTTTATTAATTAATATTAATAATTAAATCTTATAATATATATATAATTAATTTGTGATACTATACTTCAAACATACACCCCTTTAACACAATCTTGATATTTCATTATTGTTAATTAATTGATTGTCGAATAATATTTTTACTTACCAATAAATTCAGTCATCTCGTATTTTTGATAATCCTGTTTATTCAGATGAAATTTGTCGACACCTCTTTTGAGACGATCATTGCCACAACTTTTCGTAAAGGCATCCATCAATCGATCTTTGCAATCTTCCAAAATAACTGCGTTTAACGTTATTGGTAGCATAATCGAGATTGACATTATTATTAACAAGTTATTCTGTTTTTTTCTCATTTCTTTTTTTTTTTAATTGTTTTTTTTTTTTTGGGATGCTTTCAGAACGATATTAATTATAAGACTTTAATGATTTTCTCCAGCGTTTCTTTCATTTTAAATCCAACCCTTATCCGAGTGTACGTGTTTAAAATATATTTGCATAATCTTCAATGATGAAAGTTTATTTACCTGTCTCACGTTTCTTCGCATATGCTGATTAATTATTATCGTCATTAAATAAGAATGTAACAGAAGACCTCGATTATACGACGACGTTTCGCGAATGCCAGCGAGAGAAAGTATCAAATGTTTTACGATCTTACTTTCGTTGTTTACAATCTTATCTTCATTGTTTTGTTTGTTTGTTTGTTTGTTTTTTTTCTTTTTTTTTTTTTGGTGAATTTATTTATTAATACGATGCTACTGCACTTTAATTTCGTCATATTTATTTATTTATTTATTTATTTATTTATTTATTTTGTGTATTTTGTTATCATTAATTTATTATAAATATATAATATTGTATATGTTACGATTAAATATGAAGAAACGTGTGGATTTTTATAGAATTTCCATTTGCAAAGAAAAAAAAAGAAAATACATTTTATACAATTATTCGAAACAAATGAAATGTTGGATATTTTGTGTAAAATGCACAAAAGGTTTTGATCAATCTATAAAAATGTATTTCAGTGTAAAGTGTTTTTTTGAGTATGATTACAGGGGGAAGGGAAGGGAAGGGAAGGGAAGGGAAGGGAAGGGAAGGGAAGGGAAGGGAAAAATCTAAAGCTATTATAAATAAGACAAACCATGGAAATTTAAAAATATGTATAAAATGTCATTAACAAATTTCCCTGATTTGTTTCACTTGCAATAGCTTCAGATTCTTTAGCTCACGTGCTAAAAACAAACTTCATTGAAATACATTTTATAGAATAAATGAAACCTTCTGTGCACATTCTATGGAATAACCGGGAAATGTGTATGATGGTGTGCAGATGTTTCACGGATTCTTGGATTTACAAGGTAATTCTATATAATGCCTCAGGCATTATATAACATTCTTGTCATTTCAAAATTAACTGTATAACATATATGATAAATATTTATTTTCTAATATAAATTGTAATATATATTAATTTCTTGTTAATTTTGTTTTTTTTTCACTTATATAAACTGCAGCACATATTTATAGTTTTATGATTTATTATATTATAGTAAAACACATTAAAGAATTATATATACTATATTATATATATATATATTTTATTACATAATTGTATTATATATATATATTTTTGTATATTTTATATATTTATTATATAATTTATTATATATATATTTTTTATTATAATATACTATATATATATATTATAGAATAATATATAAAATATATTATATAGTAAAACTCACATTACAAAAATTTATCTATAAGATGTTTGAAAAAAGAAAGGAGTTTGTTAAAATAAAAATGAATTAATCGCATACTTTAATGAATTATCTCATTCTCGTTATTGGATTCGTGTTTAATTGATATAATATAATGAGTGAACATTGATAGTATATAATAATATATACAATAATCTAACATATATATATATATATATATATATATATATATATATATATAAGATTATTATATATATGCATCTTTGTATCTTTCGTGTATCCTTTCGTGAAAAAGTCGATACTATCGATCCAACACACGTGAGATGATATTGGTCAAATATTTATTCGTAATATTTATTTCTTCGTAATAATAATGCAAAATAATTTCTTTTTTTTTTCTTAGGAATTATTAAATAACAATGTTAAATAATAATAAAAGAAATGAATATCTAAAAAAGAACATTCAAAAATGAATGGTAGATGACTCTCTTATACAATTTCTGTTGAGTTCGGTTGTACCGAATGACAGAGATTATTGAGGTTAGGGACATGCGGGATAGTCGGTCTAACAAGTACACATATATATGACTTATAATTAATTATTTATAATAATAATATTTTCATAATGTTGCATTCAACAAGAAGTTTGGTGATAACAATACGGAAATTAAAAGATTGTCGTATTTTACATACAATTGGTCAACAATTATCAGAAATCACAGAATATGAATGTTTGTTTTATTTGTGATTATATCTTATCATTCATTGGTTATCAAAGTTACGAATAATTATTTTATTAATATAATTTTCTAATTATGCAGCTCCTATCACTGATGAATATAAAAAAGGACCTATTGAAGGTAGACCACTTTATTTAGATGCTCAAGCCACCACACCTATGGTATGAAATATAAAACATAATATTGCACAACTTGTGCAATCATAAAAAATCATTTGTAGTCAATTATAATTTAATAGGTTAAAATTAATGTTTAGGATCCACGTGTATTGGATAAGATGATGTTATATTTTACTTCCTTTTATGGAAATCCACATTCTAGAACTCATATGTACGGATGGGAAACAGAAGCTGCAGTGGAACATGCTCGTAAGGTTAGTATAATAACATATACAGTAATACATATTCATATTTCAAGTAAGATTCTAACAATCACAATTTATACATGAACACATAAATAAAGTTCCCTTTTTTGAATATTACTAATAATTCTTTTCACATACATTAGCAAGTGGCAGATTTAATAGGTGCAGATAAAAAAGAAATTATTTTTACGTCTGGTGCAACGGAATGTAATAATATTGCTGTTAAAGGTGTGGCAAGATTTTATAAATCAAGAAAAAATCATATTGTGACAACGCAAACGGTAAGTAAATAAAATTTTAATGTATAATATGAAGTCATTCTACTGAAATTTTTTATGTATACACACACATATATATATGTATGTATGTATTTAGGAGCACAAATGTGTATTAGATTCATGTAGAGCTTTGGAAGCAGAAGGATTTGAAGTGACATATCTACCAGTTAAATCAAATGGATTAATCGATATTGATCAATTAGAAGCTGCTATTACACCAGCTACATCACTTGTATCTATAATGACTGTTAATAATGAAATTGGTGTTAGGCAACCCATCGAACAGATTGGTGCTATTTGCAGGTAAGTATTTATACATATAATTATATATTGAGAAATAAATAATATTTGTATTTGGCATATATATATTAATTAATCATTGCTTTTTATAGAAAGAAAAAGGTTTTCTTTCATACGGATGCAGCCCAAGCTGTTGGAAAAATACCCCTTGATGTTAATGCAATGAACATTGATCTGATGTCTATTAGTGGTCATAAAATATATGGACCGAAGGGTATATATAGCTATGAATATTTGCAATTTTTAAATTGCAATTTCATGTTTTTCATATAAATGTTCTTCTAGGTATTGGAGCACTTTATGTAAGACGAAGGCCACGTGTTCGTGTTGAAGCAATACAGAGTGGAGGTGGACAGGAACGAGGTATGAGGAGTGGAACCGTTCCAGCTCCCTTAGCTGTTGGACTTGGTGTTGCTTGTGACTTGGCAAAATCAGAAATGGAGGTATACATTTGCTCTTTATGATTTTCTAAAAGAAATTTCTAAAATTTATTCCTTTTATCAATTATTCCTTTTACAGTACGACCATAAATATATAACGAATCTTTCGAATATCTTGATTGACAAAATTATGTCTAATTTATCACACGTGGTACGCAATGGGGATTCAGTTTTTTGGTATCCTGGATGTGTTAATTTATCATTTGCATGTGTTGAAGGAGAATCATTATTAATGGCATTAAAAGAAATAGCCTTAAGTAGTGGTTCCGCATGCACAAGTGCTAGTTTAGAACCTAGTTATGTATTAAGAGCAATTGGAGCATCAGAAGATCTGGCACATTCCAGCATCAGGCAAGTATATGTTATGTTTTACATAATATACGAACATATTATTATTTACTTTTTATATTTAAATTTGTACAGATTTGGTATTGGGCGGTTTACTACGCTTGAGGAAATCGAATATACTGCGGAACATACGATTAAAGAAGTTAAAAAACTTCGCGATATGAGGTACAACTTTGTTGATTATAGTATAAATCTTTATTTATAATTGTAAAAGCATGATTATATTATTAATTTACATCATCTTTTATAAGCAAATCATTCGCAATGATAATACATGAATATAAATAATATCATTATTTAGCTGGATGAAGTAGATTCATTGTTGGACGTATTTTTAACAATAGAATTATGTTGAATCCAAGTCAAAAATTGAGATTACTTCAAGTGTAAAATTTGTTCTTTACAGTCCCCTGTGGGAGATGGTTGAAGATGGAATCGATTTAAATACTATCAAATGGACTCAGCATTAGATGTTTTGTCAATGTGTGAGTTAGATGGCTCGTATATCGATAAGCAACATAAAATGTACAAAAATGCACAGTTAGTAAGTTGTAAAGTTTAAAGCTTGGTTATTTAAAATTGTCCTCGCCGTATAATAAAATTTAAATGTAAAAATTGTTATTATCAAGGACCTTAAATTTATTTCTAATTTTTACGTATATAAAATTTCTATTTTAATGTTTCTAAATACCTGTTCTGCCCTATTCGTTTCTTGTCATATAAACCCGATGTTAAAATGTAATTCAATTCCTTCGTTTTTAAAAACAAAAAAACTTTAAAAGTTCGTTCGTTGTCATTCATTCTTTTTTTTTTTTTTTTTTTTTTTAACATAAACATGATGGATCAGCAGTTTCATCGATATAAGAAATTTTGAAACGATCCTTATCCATTTCATGAAGTTCCATTCGAGATCGATTAGCTTCAACTAAATGTTGAGCTATGTCTTCAAACATTTCATTTATTCCTTCTCCAGTTTTACAAGATGTTTTATAAGTCCCAGAGATTAAGTTATGACATTGTTCACTAAAGCAATCATTTATGTGTTACAGATATTATAGAAATGAAGAAAAATATATGTTTATCAAACATACCAAAATTGTTCCATTTCTGCATCGGTAACTTGTGGAGTAACTCCTTCTAAGTCACTTTTGTTACCGCATAAAAAGATCTTAGCATTTTCTGCATACGTAACTATATCTAATAAATGTTGAGATAAAAGATGAAAGGATGTTGAGTTATCTAGAGCAAATACCAGAATAGCTGCTTCTGCAAATTTGTAGTAACTCGATGTTACAGATGCTACTCTTTCCATACCTCCAGTATCCCATAATTGTAACTGTGAAAGCCAAAAAATGAATAAACTTAGCATAGATTGTAATTTGTTTTTAGATAGTTTTATATACAAAGAAGCTTAAAAAAGTGAACTTATTTGGAAAATGTATGATCTATATTTAAGAAAGTGCAAACTATAACAGTATAAAAAATGTAATGGAAACATTCAAACAATTAATCTCCACCTACAAGCTACCTACACATCAGGTGCTTGAATATGCAAACTCAATCATCTATTCCATTAGATTAAAGACTGAGGATGGTGAAATATACATTGAGCTTTAATACGATGATAATGTCATTTTAAAATTGAAGTACTTGAATAACCTTGTTGAATTATACATTAAAAATTCGATTGGAAAATATTCAAATATTGTGTCAGAATTGTCATATTAATTAATTAATGTATTACAGTAATGTCATACAAAAGTGACCATTTGGATTATGTACTTACACATATTCGTCTATCTTCAACTATATATTCTTTGTCGATATTATCGAGACCAAGTGTCGATTTTCGATCATTACTTGTTACAAAAGTATTGTTCGCGAATCGCCTGAATATAGACGTTTTACCGACACCATATTCACCGCAAAGAATAACTTTTTGTTCCGTTACTTTGACAGTAGCCATGTCCCATGTAAATCGCCTTAACAGTCACCGTAAACATCAGCAACAAGGAATCATATTATACGCAAAAATAAACTGATTCAGGTAACGATGTTATGTGCAACTTCTATATTATTTAAAAACGTATTTTTCACAATACGCGATTAGAATTTAGCTCAACAACTGGCATCGATAGTGTGACAGTAAAAATAGTTAGATGAGGGATGAACCATGAACTATCGCTAACGGAGATAAACTATTCAAACGTGATTTTAATTATTTACAATGAAATTGACATTTTTATAATTTATGGAAATCATATTCAATTATAATTGATCATACATAATCCTTATATAAGTAGATAAATATTATCAATGCAATGTTTTTCTTTTTGAAAATGGTAGATCGTTGTTGAAATTAATTAATTTGAATTTTTAGCGGCAGCTCAACAGCAATTATTGTAAAATTATATTGTACATCGTTGAGTACATTTCAATCATTTATTTATTTCAAATAAATAATATTACACCATACTTTTGTTAAAAACAATCATTTAAAAAGTGCTTATATATATCGTATATATGTATGTATGCACATAGATTATTTTAGACAGTAGCATGATTTATTGTAAAATCTTAAAATARAAAATAACGTAGTTATTTAGCAAATCAAATATAACCTGTTTTAAATGGTTTTTACTGATTTCAGAATGATACAATCTTTCATAAAATAAATTTAAATTATTTTACAGAATCCGGATTTTGATTGTATAAATATGTAATCAATTGTAATCGCGTCATATATATTTACATATTATAAAACGATAATTCGATTTTTATGCTGGATATTAGCTATCGATAAGATTCGATAAGTCAGATCGAATTCGTGAATTGAAATATTGGAAGGTGTCGCCCTCTACAACGGTTATGTATTCTTAGTGAGTGTGTCAATTTCGTCGACAGTTCAGCTGTTATAAAGATTTTTCTTTGACTTTAGTATTTGATTTCGATGTTTATTCGATCACTTTATATTTTATTCGATGAATCGTTTTTTTCATTGAGAAAATAACGAAGTTTCATCATGGTGCTTAACGAAGTTGGCAAATTCCTTCTTGAATTGGAGAAAGCCGAATTAGAGGTTAGAATTATTCTTTGTTTCTAATTTTATTTTTAGATACATATATCGTTTTTAATTAATTAAAAGCTAGTTATTTGTTGTTATTGTCTACGTAAAAAAGTTATAATTAATAATATATTTAAATGTGAAATGTTCTATATACGAATATTAATAATCCACTTTCACTGTGAGTATATTTTGTGCCTATAGACACAGTTAATACCAGACATTTTTAGGTTAATAAAAATATCACTTGACAATTACATTCAATGAAGAAAAATGACTTCAAACTAAAACCAAATAATACAATTCTTTCATGCTGCTTATATTTTTCTTATCATTAATTCTAATCTAATATTTAACAAACTATTCATTTAATTCAAATGTTTTAATCATACTATTTTGTTTTCAGGCACCTGCTGGAGTTGCTACGGCTCAAACTTATGCTCAACTATTGGCTATGTATCTTTATCAAAATGATTTGTAAGTAAATTTACATTTTATTTCTTATCAAACTTTACACATGCTAATAAAATATGAACCATTCACAGACCAAAATGATTCCACTTTTAGAATTAAACAAAATATATTATTATTATTATTATTATTATTGAAACATTTGATTAATAATTAAATGTTTATATTTAAAGCAAATTTACTTGATAATAAAGCTTAAAATCATTGAATAATCAAATTTTGTATGGTTGTAGAACAATGTATATTATTTTGATTACTTTTCTTTATTTTTCATTCTATGAAATGAATCAATTTGATAAATGAATGGTTCACGTGAAAGAATAAATGATTCACATGATTTATATTTATTATTTTATTTAAACTTGGTTATATTTCAAACTTTCTTAAACAATTATACGACATAAAAAATGTAATTAGATTTTTGTTTCATCATGGAATAACGTCATAGTATTCTTTTTATTATTGCACATCTGTCGATGATTGTACATATTTTGTAAATATTATTATTTATTAGTTGAGATAATGTCAAGATAACAAAATACCAACGTGGAATGTTAAGATATTAATCTAAGAACTTGACCAATTAAACTTTGTTTCTTTATAATAGTATCGTGATTTAGAATACGATTCCGGATTAATTTAGTATTTATAAAGATATATACTTGAATAAATATATATATATATATGAAAAATGTATAAAACGCCTTTGATCGGCATATGTTTAACTAAGAGAGAACGGTATCTCTCTCTCTCTCTCTCTCTCTTATTTTCACTTTAATTGCGTTCTCCGTGCTTATATCGGCAATTATCGCATTCACGTAGTCGCTCTCGGTAGCTGGAGAATGCTATTAGCCGTGGCTAATTTGATCGGACGATTTAATAGTCAAAGCAGTGTTCTCCCCGATTCTATGATTTTATCTAACATTAACTTTCAATTCAATTTGGCATGATCGTTAAGAAAACCGGAGCACATTCTAGTTCTCTTAACGTAATAAGATAAATGCATGTGCCTATCGTGATTTGTTTAGTGCTATCGATACCATTTATGTATTGCACGTTGAAAACATTAGTAAATCGATATTGTTTGCAAGTTTTTAACAAATATATCATTATGTAAGGATAATAATAATAATAATAATATAATTCATGTGTTCTAAGCATTAGAAAATTATGTAAAAAATTAATTGGAGATTATAAAGCAAAACAAAACAAATTGACTCATCATAGATGCAACGCTAAGTGTTTGTGGAAACGAATACCGTTTAATCTGAAGGAAGCTAATTCAGAATTGGGCCGAATATGGGCGGTAGGGAAACACATGTGGCAACGGGACTGGCCCGCGGTGCACGTTGCTCTCAACGCGGATTGGAGCGAGGACGTTTCCGGGATCATGACTGTTCTGAAAGGTATCGTTAACTATCGTTAGCTATCGGAGCTATCGACGCGCACCTACCTTCTACGATCTCGATAACTTTCATTATTGTCTTGGAAACCTTTTAGCGAGAATCGCGCTCGTTACGAAAGCAAATATTCACACAACGAGTATTGTAAC